AGAAAGTGGTCCTGTTGCATTCTTTTGCATGTTGCTGTCCCATTTTCCCAACACCATTTGTTGAAGAGATTGTCTTTCCCCATTGGATATTCTTTCCTGATTCGTCAAAGATTAATTGACCATATAATTGTGGGTTTATTTCTGGGTTTTCTATTCTGTTCTGTTGATCTATGTCCCTACTTTTTGTGCCAGTACCATATTGTTTTGATTACTATACCTTTGTACTATAACTTGAAGTCCGGAATTTTAATGCCTCCAGCCTTGCTTTTCTTTTCAAGGTTGCTTTGGCTATTCGGGATCTTTTGTGGTTCCATAGAAATTTTAGAATTGTTCTAGTTCTGTGAAAAATGCTGTTGGTATTTTGATAGGGATTGCATTAAATGTGTAGGTTGCTTTTGGGAGTATAAACATTTCAACAATATTTGTTCTTCCAATCCATGAGCATGGATTGTCTTTTCATTTCTTTGTGTCATCTTCAATTTCTTTTTATAGTTTCAGTTATACTTTCAGTGTTTTATAGTTTTCAGAGTACAGGTCTTTCACCTCTTTGGTTAAGATTATTCCTAGATATCTTATTATTTTTGGTGCAATTGTAAATGGGATGGTTTTCTTAATTTCTCTTTCTGCTGCTTCATTATTGGTGTATAATATAGAAATACCATGGATTTCTGTGCATTGATTTTTTGTGTGTCCTGCGACTTTACTGAATTCATTTATCAGTTCTAGCAGGTTTTTGGTGGAGTCTTACAGGTTTTCTATATATAGTACCATGTCATCTGCAAATAGTGAAGGTTTTACTTCTTCTTTACCAGTTTGCATGCCTTTTCTTTCCTTTTTATAAAAGTTTTTATTTAAATTCCAGTTAGCTAACATAGTGTAATATTAGTTACAGGTGTACAATCTAGTGACTCAACGCTTACACACAACACCGGTGCTCATCACAAGTGTTCTTCTTAATCCCCATGACCTGTTTAACCCACCTCCCAACCGACCTCCCCTCTGATAACCATCAGTTTTTTCTATATAGTTAAGAGTCTGTTTCTTGGTTTGCAGGGTTTTCCCCCTATGATCATTTGTTTTGTTCCTTAAATTCCTCATATATGAGTGAAATCACATGGCATTTGTCTTTCTCTGACTTATTTTACTTGGCATAATAACCTCTAGCTCCAGGGGTGCCTGGGTGGCTCAGATGGTTAAGCGTCTGCCTTCAGCTCAGGTCACTGGGATCAAACCCCACATCGGACTCCTGGCTCAGCGGGGAGTCTACTTCTCCCTCTCCCTCTGCCTCTCCCACTGCTCATGCTCTCTCTGTATCTCTGTGTCTCAAATGAGTAAATAAAATATTTTAAAAAAATACCCTCTAGCTCCATCCATGTCATTACAAATGGCAAGATTTATTCTTATTTATGGCTGAGTATATTCCAATATATATACATATATCCCACATCTTCTTTATCCATTCATTAGTCAATGGACATTTGGGCCCCATAATTTGGCTATTAATGATAATGCTGCTATAAACATTGGAATGCATGTATCCCTTCGAATTAGTATTTTTGTATCCTTTGGGTAAGCACCCAAGAGTGTGATTGTTGGATCACGGGGTAGTTATACTTTTAATTTTTTGAAGAACCTCCATACTGTTTTCCAGTGGCCACAGCAGTTTGCATTCCCTCCAACAGTGTAAGAGGGGTCCTTTTTCTGTTTGGTTCTTTTTTATAGTTCCTATCTCTTTGTTGATATTCTCATTTTGTTCATGCATCATTTCTCGGTTTTTGTTTAGTTGTCTGTGTTCTCTTGTAGATCACTGATTCTCTAACACAATTACTTTGAAGTATTTGGTAATTCATAGATCTTCATTTCTTTTGGTGTGGGCTCTGGAGATTTGTTTTGTTCCTTTGTTTGGGACATGTTTCCCTGTTTGTTCGTATGCCTTGTGATCATTTGCTGAACTTTATGCATTTGAAAAAACTGCCACCTCTCCCAGTCTTTATGGACTGACTTCAATAAAGGGGAAGACCTTCACCAATTAGCCTGACTAGGGATTCTGGGGGCCTCTGAAACCTTTTGGTCTTGTACATGTAATTTCCCAATTAGAGAGGTTTGCTGGGGGTTTTTTGTTTGTTTGTTTGTTTTCAGGAGCTCCTAATCTCTTGTCTCCTCTGGGGTCTGTAGTCTTCTAGGTTCTTTGGTGCTATAGTTAAGTATAGTTATATAGCTCTCCTCTGGTCTCTGTCCTCCTCTGCTCTTCCCAGCCCCCAGGCACCCGAAGCATGCCCGCTCACTGGTGGCTCCCCAAGTCAAGTGAGACAGATACCAGTCCATTGAGCGGCTCTCTATATAGCCAGAACGCCAGACTCATGTTCTACTCTCCTCTTCCTTCTGAAGGAGAAGCTACTCAGTTTCGAGTCTTCTCTTGATCACACCAAGTTGCCCTAGCCTCTGTCTGCAGCACCACAGGCCCTCTGGTGCTGCAGAAAGATACTCCCACTCTTCCTTTCTTTCAGCAGCCCCCACGTCATCCAAACTCTCTTGTTTCTGTTGGCCCTCTAAGTCAGAAGAGACAGAAACCAGTCTCTTGGGCAGCCCTCTGAAAGCTGGAATGATGGAGGAACGTTCCACAGCTCTCTACTCTCCTCACCACTCCACCCCAGCAAGAAACTATGCTAGTCGGGGCTGGGGGGGGAGGGGGAGAGTGGGGATCATGGATAAAGTAAATGGCTTTTCTAGCCTTTTGGATGCACTTTGCTTTACATTTGCCTGGGGTACTGTAACTTCTTAACTGGTTTCTGGAGTTCTCCCAAAGGTATTTTGGTCCATACCAACTTGGTGTCTCTGTTGGGGAATGAGGACTGGGACCTCCTAGTCCATCTTGCTGGCATCACCCAGACTTCTCCATTATTTACCTTAAGAGATCATGGGGTTCCCAAATGTATGAAACTGAACGCATTAAACACAAACATACTGAATGAAAGCCTGAATGAGTGAGACAGACCAAGGATTACACCTCCTTTAACTAGTGAGGAAACTAAAGATAAGCGAGGGCATGGGATATGCCCAAAGTCGATGTCTTAGTCTGTAGCAGAACAACAATCAGTGACCCAGGACTTTGGCAAGCAAAAGATAGGTCTATATTGGGTTGAACAGTGTCACCCAAAGAGTCCTGGCTGCCAGGAACCTCAGATGTGACCTTATTTGGAAATAATAAGATCTTTGCAGATGTAATCAAGTTAGGGATCTTAACATGAGATTATCTTAGATTTAAAGTGGGCCATAAATCCGCTGGCTGATGTCCTCATAAAAGAAAGGAGAGGGATGTTTGAGACAGAGACACACAGGGAGAATGCCTTGTGAAGACAGAGGCAGAGATTGGAGATATATGTCTACAAGCCAAGGAATACCAAAGATTTCCAGCAACCACCAGAGGCTAGAAGAGGTATAGAACAGATGTTTCCTCAGAGCCTCCAGAAGGAGCCAACCCTATCACCACCTTGATTTTGGACTTCTGGCCTCCAGAACTGTGAGAGAATAAATTTCTGTCATTTTAAGCCTCCCAGTCTGTGGTTCTTTGTTATAGAAGCCCAAGGAAACTAATATAGGGTATAACTTCCCTCTCAGAGCCATGACTTCTAACCCCAATCCCACCATAGACCATAAGAAGAGAGTAGGGCCGGGTACTCTCATACCCCACTGATTAGAGAACAGACTCATAAAGATACAGATAAATAAATAGAAATGTATAGAAAGAGTGAACATTTTTGATATACTTTTTTTTTAAATGCACAAATACAGTTTAGAAGATTATATTATATGCATAGTTCTTCAACTTGTTTTTTAAGGCATGTTAAGCTTTAGAGATCTATTCAGGTAACTAAGTATATAGCAATGCCATCATTTTTAATTTTCACAGGATATAAAGCCACGTGATATAATGAATGGCAGTAATTTATTTAAATGTTTCCAGTTGGTGGGCATATAGAGTATTTCTTCTGCTTTTGCTGCTATAAACAAACAAGCATGAATAATCTTTCCATGCCTCTTTGTAGATATGTATTAATTTTTCTCCAGAAGAGGTACCTAAATATACAATAAATGTATTGGTTCTAGTGACAAAAATATTTTTCATTTGAAATAAACAGATTTCCCTAAAAAATGTTTTATTTGTTTATGTTCAATTTTATGTGTCAATTAACTAGGCCACAGTGTGTCCAGATATTTGGTGAAACATTCTTCTGGGCCTCTCTATGCAGGGGTTTCTGGATGAGATGAAATCTGAGTTGGTAGACTGAGTAAAGCAGATTGTCCTCCCCAGTGTGGGTGGACCTCATCCAATCAGTTGAAGGCCTGAATAGAACAAAAAGATGGAGTAAGGGAGAATTTGCTCTATTTATCTGCCTGTTTCTGCACTGAGACATTGGTTTTCTCCTGCATTCAGACTTGGACTTGGACTGGAGTAACTGATTATCAGGCCTTTGGACTTGGACTGTTACTACACACCAGCTCCCCTGGGTCTCCAACCTTCTGACTGCAGGTCTTGGGAATTCTCAGTCTCCATGACCATGGGATCCAATCTCTTTATTCAAATGCAGAAGTTCTGAAACAGGAAGCTCCTTCTTGTAAAGTTAGAACTTGTGATATAGGGCTTTCTTTGATTACCCTACCCCTACACTGCAGATTTAGAACTACAAGGTACCTGACAAAATAGCACCAGCCTGAGTTGAACACAGTCCCTCACTTTTCCTAACCCAGGAAACACCTCTCAGTGGAAACTGTTTGAAAATCACAAACATGGGGCGCCTGGGTGGCTCAGTCATTGGGCGTCTGCCTTCGGCTCAGGTCATGATCCCGGAGTCCTGGGATCGAGCCCCGCATTGGGCTCCCTGCTCTGTGGGAGGCCTGCTTCTCCCTCTCCCACTTCCTCTGCTTGTGTTCCCTCTCTCCCTGTGTCTCTGTCAAATAAATAAAATCTTAAAAAAAAAAAAAAAAGAAAATCACAAACATGGATGGAAACATTTTACATTATGTCTTTCTTGCGAGTGGCCCAATCAAAAGGGAGAGGCAAAACAGATGATGTTGGTGGTCTTAAAGTTCATTGTCCAAATGCAGGTGTGGTGCCATAGGACTGAGAGAGGCCTGGGAGGGAATGGTTTTGACTCATCTGCCCTGGGCTGTGGGCATGCTGGGCTAGGAGCAGGCTTTTGTCCTTCATCTTCAAATTCCATGATCTGTTCTCACGCCTCCACCTGCTTCCCATGGGAAATCCTCAGTCCTATCCCACACATCCATGGCATTATCTTAGTCAAATGATTTCATTTGCCTTGTCACCCCTAAAAAAAAGGAAGATGAATAAACATGAATGAGCCCCACAAATGGCACCCCATACTGACCTTACAGTAGCCCCGTGTCAGGCTCATGCTGTCGTCGTCTTTAGAGACGGTGAGAGTGAAGGAATTTAAATAAGACACACTCGAGACCCACATGAAGGCTAGCACCAGGTGGGGACTCAAATTCAGATAATGCAGCTCCAAAGCAACTTGATTATTCCCGCGATGTGAGCATTATGTACTCCAGTTCATTTTACTTCCTGGAAACTTTAGATGGATTGTGGGGGGTGGGGAGGAGCTGTGGGTCAGCTACAGTGAGCCACACTTGAGGAGAGAAAACTGTAAACGTTACCACTTTCCTGTCTTACCGACCTCGCAGCGATTCCTTCATGGAAACCACTTTTGGGGACCTACAGTGTTCAGGTTCTCCAGGTATAACATACCTTGCAGTTTTTATTTCTTCTTTAATTATTTACTCTGTTGGGATGGTGTTCACTATCACAGTAGCAGCTAATGCAGTAATTTTCAAGAACAAACCGCACGAGACTCCACACCCCTCAGCAAGAGTCAGGCTCTGACATCTATCTTCTCGTTTCCTGCATTCTTAGATTTTCTTCCTAACGTTTTTCTTGCGAGCTCACCTGTGCCCTCATGGGCAATAGACCATGATAAATTTGCCGATAAATGTAACAATAAACTGGGGGACATCTCCTGAGCTGCTAGACAGGGGCAGAGAGTTTGTGCAACGGAAGAGGGAGGAGTCCGGACAGGCTGAGAAGACTTCTGAGGATGGAGTCACGTGGCGGGGGGGGGTGGACTATGGAACATCACAGACGTCCCATTGTGACTCATGTGGAGCCTTAGCTGTGATTGGTCAGATGGGCACAGGGCTGGGATAAAAGGCCAGAGCTCTGCACACACCTCAGCCTGAGAGTCCATGCAGCGGGGTGTTCTTTGTCTCAGCTTCTTCGGGACCCTTCCTCCCCACAGCCTTAGTACCCACCCAGGGCCCCTTTCCCAGTCTCCTGGGTTTTAGGTATAGACTCAGGTCTCCCCCTTACCATCCACATCTACCTTCACTATCCTGCGGCAGCTATAAAAGAAAAAAGAAAAGGCAGAAAGACACCAAACTGAGCTCCATTGGTCTGCAGAGGGAAAAACGAAAATCTGGAATCTTGTAGAGCTGTAACAAAGGGAAGCCCATCACCAGAATGATCAACGTCTTGAGCTCATTGAGCCTCATCAATATCATGCGAAATCCCAGGGTTTTAAAATGTAAAACCTTGGAAGAAAACTCAGAGTCCTAATGAGCACATCATCAGAAGTTCTGCATCTGCAAAAGAAAGAGTCATGCTGGGTACTCACTTCATGTAGGGTATTTTCTCCACCCAAGTGATGAATGAACCTGAGTCCACAGTAATGGCTTATTCATGAGACACAGCCAGCACAAAGCCTTTCCCCTCCCGTGATATTAATCATTACCCAACCAGGCACACTTAGTGAGCAGTGCATCCTTCAGATGGCCATATCCCTCCTCCTCGTGTCTGGTGGCTTCTCTCTGATCAGGTAAGGCCTCTGAGTCTACAAAGACCACCACCGTTATGATTGTCTTCAACTGTGCGTAAGTTCTGCCTATTCTAGAACTTCATATTCATGGAATCATACAGTATGTGCTGTGTTGGGTAAGGCTTCCTTCTCTCAGCATAGCACTGTTGCCTGTATTAGGAGCATGTCCTTTTTATTGCTGAGCAGTGTTCCATTCTCCTATTGCTGGAAATCCGGGATGTTTCCAGTTAAAGGATACTATGAATAAAGCTGCCTTGAATATCCTGGTACATGTCTTTTGGTGGAGTTATCATAGCATTTGGAGGCCAAATACTTTTCATCATTTATGGGGAGTGTAAGGACCAGTGGAAGACCTTGCCCGGGGTCACATAACAAGGCTGGGCACATCCAGGAGAGCTGTCTCTGACATCAATGGTCCTCCTGACACTGTTGGGTTGGAGTCAGGGTTGTTGGACCTTCTTACCCTATCATCTCAGGTTCCCCATATCCATTTACAACCTTGAGATTAGCTCCCAAGCTTCTGGGGGTGACAAAGGGGGACTGGTTTTCCTGTTTCCCCTTTAGCCTGGCTCAGGCTATGAGGAGGTCAGAAACAGGCAAGGAGATCGAATTTCTCATTCACTGTGTGAATGTCCCTTCCCCTCCCAGCTTCATCCTGTACCAGTAAAGGAGATTGGCTCCATTCTGGGGCTCATTATGGGCCCAGAGTCACCCCTGCATATAACTCCAGATGGGACCCTATATGTTGCTTCCCTTGTCAACCTAAAACTGTCAGGAGGTGGGCGCTTGGGTGGCTCAGATGGTTAAGCATCTGCCTTCGTCATGATCCTGGGGTCCTCGGATGGAGTCCAGCGTTGGACTCCCTGCTCAGTGGGGAGCCTGCTTCTCCCTCTGCCTCTGCCTCTCTCTGTCTCTCATGAATAAATATAATCTTTAAATAAATAAGTAAAATTATCAGGAGGCAATAATTAAGCAAGAGCATTTATATGGGATCAAAGAATTGCTATTTGGGGTACACAGACATGGGTAGCTACCCAAATAGAGTCCCATTAGAAAGCAAAAGTCAAGTTTTTAAAGTAAAAAGGGAATGCTTGTATATGTTGTTTACAAAGAACTTTTGATTGGTGTTGGTGGAAGAAAGCTAATCTTTACTGAATATAATGGGTTGCTATAAAATCAATACATGTAGTCTCTTACTGTAGCGATTTGCAGGTGGTCATGTTGAGTCCTTGGAATATTTTCAGTTTGGCCCCGTTCGAAAGTTCATGGTTCCGCTGGTGAGACCATACCTAAAGCCCATCTCCTTAATGGCCTCCAGCTTCATTTTAGAGCCCCTTGACATTAGTGACCCCATTTCACTTCACCTTTCTTACTCCCAGTGCCCAACTCCCATGATGGTCAGTGTTTTAAAATGTACCCAAGATGTTGGTTTGATTCAGGTATGGCGAGGCCAACAGATTAGAAGATGATTGCTATATGCGGGCGTCTGGTGGCTCAGATGGTTGAGCGTCTGCCTTCGGCTCGGGTTATGATCTCCAGGTCCTGGGATCGAGCTCCACGTGGGGCTCCCAGCTTAGCGGGGAGTCTGCTTCTCCCCCGGCCTCTGCCCCTGCTTGTGTGCTCTCAAATGAATAAATAAACTCTTTAAAAAAAATGATTGCTATTGAAAGACAGTTCAGTTACAGTTCCCAAAAGGAGGGGGCATGCCACACAGAGCCACATGGGGAGGCACCCAGGCCAGTCAGGAGGTGAAAGGAGCAAGGGGAAAGTGTGAACAAAAGCCTTTAGTTTTTGCTGGAAGGATTGGGTGAAGGTAGGGGAAACAGGCTTAGGATTGGCTAGTTTGAATAATTGCGGTGGCTCTGGGTGGGGCTGTCCCCAGTTGTCTAGTTCATGGCCCTGGGGTGACTTAAGGCAGGGGGATAGTGTCCCAAACTGCCAGAGCCTGAAAAAAGAAAGGTGCTGGGCCTTGCTTTGCAGATCAAAGGTGTGCTTAAAGGCACATCATTTACTATCTCTAGGAATTAGCCGACTCTGGAGGGGCAGTCCCTTCCAGGTCCACAAGGCCACCAGGATATCAAAGCATCATAAAATACAGAAAATTTAAAACATGATTAATACAGTCAGGGAAGGGGCAGGATGCCTTGGTTGACACTACAGCCTTCTTGGAATATTCTTCCGGAGTCCTGCTCTGTCCGACCAACTGTTTGACAGAAGTGAGTCCTGGGACATACTCAGAGCTGGGTTCCTGTCCCAGGGCTGTCCCTCGGGCTTTGGGGAGAAAAAGCAGTTTGTGTGTCTATATGTACAAGTGTCTGTGTGTACTTTGTGTGTGCACATTCTCAGCTAATTCCTGTTATTTATTATCTACATGGTCTAAGCTTTGTGAGGGTCATTTTTATACAGTGTGTGTTCAGTAAGACGCCAGTTGAATATTTCTAACTAGACCCAGGAGGCCGGGGGACCCCTTCCATCCTGGGTGCCCCTGCCCTGTCCCTCCACCCCCATGGGAATCTGCAGCGATACTCTTAGGGGGAGGGAGACACAAAGCTGCTACTTTGGCAGGTCATGTTGCAGGGACCCCAAAGGGGAAAAAAAAATCTTTCCTGTGTGAACTGTGGCCACAGGAATGGGGCAGAGTGATGGGGAGCAGAGCCAACAAGCCCATTAACTTCTTAGCAGCATCTCACGCAGACGCCCCCTCGTCTCTCCTCTGCCTCTCCCAGACTTCAGTTCCAACGATCAGACACGTCAAAGAATTTCAGAGAGAATCTGTAGAGACCTGCCTTGAACTGTTTGCAGCTTTCCAGAGAACAGTCACTTGGCTGGAGACTGAGTTAGGGTATGGGGCTGGAGGGTCTGGAGGAAAATTATAATGGCACTTTTTTTTTCAGCAAAAAAGAAATTTTCTCAATGCCTCAATTAGTTAAAACCAAAAAAACCCAAACAGCTCCATACTGAAGTGAGGAAATCCCTAACGGGCTCCTCTAAGGCTGGGGTGCTTCAGCCACATATGATGCCCCCCAGCAGGACTGGACAGGGTGGGTGCCAGGGCAAGCGAGGAGCAGACTCCACCCACCCAGGGCTCTGTGGACGCTCTGGAATGGTTGCCGTTATTGAGCCCGGCAATGCAGGGAGACAGGGTTCATTCCTTTTGTCTGATTTCAATCATCTCGACAACCCAGGAAAATCTTCAGACTCGTATGATGATGGAAGCCCCCCCCGCCCGCCCCAATCCTAGCAAATCTGTGGACTCCAGAAAGTCTGAGTCAGATGTGACCTCACACACCATCCATGCAAAATTTCCACTCTACAGATGGAGAACCTGTGGCGTGAGGCATGGTGGTCCAAGATCAGACTACAGTTCAGGATTTGGGAACAGAAACAAAAGCATGGTTGTACATCGGATGTCCGCCCCCTGTTACAAATCCTGTACAAGTCCAGGGGCATAAAATCTTTCTTACCCTTAGAACTTTATTTGGTGGCTTCCTTGCTTGGGCTCACCCAAGGGGAATGCCAGAAGTTGCAGACTTCCCTGCCTGAGGCTTTGGGCTGCTCTACGCATCTGGGTCCCCAGTTCAGGGTCTGCAATAATTGGCATAGGATTTTTTTCTTCTGTGCCTGGAGTGCCCCCTGATGGCTAATTCGGTAACAACCCACCTCTAAGGTCAATGAAAGACACGACATTGTCATGAAGGTCCTGCACCACTCCTATTTGGGAACGTCCCCTCCCTCATCAGTGTACACCCGGGGAAAGCGTGTATCAGTAAAATGTTCCATGAGGATGAACGTTTTTGTTTATCTTGTTTAGGGTAGTGGTCTCCATACCCAACCCAGTGTCTATTCCAGTGCATTATAGATGATGAATAAATCAAGTGCCCACTCTGCATATGAACTTCTCTCTTGTGACGAATTCTCGAGATGCTTCGATCAACATTTATGAACGACTTTTTGTGCAATATACCATATGAGAGTCATGGAGACACAAACAAACAAACAAACAAAACCCCACCCCACTATTCTTGTCCCAATAGTTATCATTTACTGCTCAAGACAAGCCAAAAGTCTATAGAAGTGCAGCTTACATGGCAAGGACAAGAGAAGGTGTAAGCAAAGGCGTAGGGCACAGAGTGTCAACCATGCCACTAGGGGTGTCCTCCTGGGGGAGACGGTGTGCGAGCTGAGGC